TTTCTGGTTATGTAATTTATATAATCACAGAAATTTATCATAAGTTTATACTGCTTAGTACTAATTAGTATTCTATTGTATAAACTATAATATTACACAAATGCTATATGACCTTCTAAACATGCTAGTATAACATAGGTAACAGATATCTGGTCTCAACTAATAGCAGAAGACAGTTAGTCATAATACAAAAAGAATTTTAAATTTCTATTAACACTAGGATTTGAACTCTTGACCTGTCATTTAGGAGTTAATGACATAACCACTTTACTATATTATCATGCTCCTAATATACTCAATTCTAATTATCTTTGAACTTGCATTTTAATAGACAATTTTTAATAAATTACTTACTTTAATGCATAATTATTAGAATGTTATTTCTATACAGATGACTTAGTTGTTAATTTGAATATATTACAATGCTTTATATGCATTGAATAAGCTTAAATTTTAAAAAATACTATATTGTATACATTTTAAGTCCAAACAAGATATTGAACTTGTTTATTTAGTTTAAACTTATTGTTATTTTATTAACTCTTATTACTGCTCTTAGAAACTATATTATATATATATATACTAACTCACAGTTTATAATTTTAAATATCAGTCTTTTAAATTCAATTTATACTTTATCTTATATATATATATCATATTTCTTATAAAAAAATAAACTTATTAACTTTATAAAATTATATAATATTTGTATTATTTTTTATAAAGTTATTACTTATTAGAATGATTAATATAATAATCTTTTTAATCAACTTATATGCAATTATACCTAATCTTTATGTTTTATAATATTTACAATTTTGTATATACTTTAATATTTAAAAAGTTTCTTTTAAAGCTACTTATTTGTTGCAATATTTATACAATATATTATATACATATTTATACAATATATTATATACATATTTATGTATTATAAATTATATAAACTACTTTTAAAAATAATACAAAATTTTTAATCGAATTAATTGGCAAGCTATCTGGCTATATATTAATAATAATTAAAAAATCAAACTTTTTATATAGTTTTTAATTCTTTATTTTTAAGTTTTTTAGAATTAAAATCTCATTAAATAATTTTTCTACTTTATATATTTTATATAAATAATATTATTCATATTTATCTATTTGTTACTAATATCACTAAATTAGTTATAATTAGAGAATGATGATCCTAGTATAGTGGTTAGATTATCATCCTCTAAGTGGCAAGTCTAAGGTTCAAATTCCATCTACAATGAAATTTGAAAATTAACTTGTATTATAAAAACTGTCTCTTGTTGATTGGTTGGTCTCATGTGGCTATAATTCAGATACATCAAGTCAGGTCTTACTTGTTATTAGGAGCTCAGAGCATCTATGTAAAGTATAACATTATATAGTACATGTATATAAAGGAATATTAATAACTAGTGTTGCATAAGCCTTTGATGCAAACTTATGATAAGATTGCCAGATATAAAAGACTAAGAAACTGAGAAGATAAAATCCTACTTGGAAATTTCCAAGTAAAGAAATAGCACAAACTTTCAACAATGCTGTCAAACTAATGAAAGCCTATAAAACATCTTTATAGAAACAGGCAGATAAACCAAATGACAAGATGTGTAAAGGAGCATATGACTAACCAGGCTACTAAAATCACCAAAAAAAAAAAATACTAAGGTATACTATACTGGGTCATCTGGATTAGAAATCTAGAAAGTTTGTTAGTTTTAAGTTGTAGTTAGTAGAGAATAATAAAGAAAATGTCAGAAGGATAGGTATTGAGGTTTGAGTAAACTTTACAAGAGTAGAAATAGTATAATGTAGTAGTTTAAGGTTAGTTCTAACTGCAAGTATTAAGTAACTATAGCATGTTACATAAAACTAGATTAGCTGTATGTGGGACATAGAAGGCTCTAGTAATGATGCTTCTGAGAATATATCGCATGAAATAAGATATGAAGTTCTAAGGATACAGGTAAGCTCTAGACCTTCTTGACTAACTTATGTAGCAGAAATAATCTAGTGATACAATAAGGATTGCAGTATAAAGGGTTTAAATAGGCAACACCCTTAGTTGGATTGCAGATATAGCAGCTAGTATAGAACTATTAGTGAACTACTTAATTAGACACCAAAAGTGTATGTGTAACTAGTTGTACTCTCTAATATAAGAAGACTTCTTTGAGGTTTTGGCTATGAGTCCCTATATCCTAACTACTGAATAAAAAGCTCTAGTTTCAAAAAAAGCTAGTTTAATATACAAAAAAAATAAATTAGTTATAATCTTTATTAAATAATTTGACTATAATGCAGAATATCTAATTACATTATAGTGCTAAAATTTAAAATCTATATATAAATATAAATAGTAGTGCTAAATTTTAAAATTCACATAGTATAGAACATCATAGCACTGAATTTTGTAAATTATATTATAATAGTACTAAATTTTGTAAGTTATTATAATATATATATAATAGTACTAAATTTAATATATAAAAAAATATCAAATTTTTTAATATTTATTAATAAAATAAAGTGCTAAATTTTTTAAAATTATTAATAAATTAAAGAATTTTTAAATCAAAATAACTTTTTAACAAAAGAACTTTTTTGAAAAAACTCTCTATAGCTATATTTTTTAGGTTTTAAATAATATAACTATAAAAAATTTTTTTTAAAAATCATTATTAGTTAAAAAAATATTAAACTTTTATTTAAAGCAATTATTTTGTAATATAATTAGATGTTTTGCATTATATCTAATCAATTACTATATATTCTTATAAATATTTTACTATAACATACTTTTAATACTAATATATTTAATACTATATTAAATACTATAATTATTTATATAACTAAATTAAGTTACTAAGTAGTATAACTATTCAAAGTATATCAAATATACCTTCAATTTTCACAATTTTAACAAATCTAATACCAAATAAACCTATTATTATTATAAGTTTGTCATTCAAAAAAGTAGTTACAACACTTATTATAAAGTTTTTCTACTTTATTTTAATCAACAAATTTATTACAAAATCTGAATTTTTTATTGTATTTTAAAATTTATAACTCAATTTTCTAAATACAACTTATCATCAAACTCTGCTTATTTCTATTATATTCTCTTTTATTCAATTTTATTAGTTTAAAAATAAACTTTAGGTATTGTCACGATCTAAAGTAGGATCATTGATAATTTATTAAAGATTGATCGCATAATTAAATAATAGTACATATTAATTAATAGGTTTAGTATATATATAGCGTAATTAGTAGATATAGGGTATTTAACGTAATTAGTAAATATAGCATATATAGCGTATATAGAGGATATAGCATATATAGCGTATATAGAAGATATAGCAGATATAGCACATAAAGTAGATATAGCATATATAGTATATAGAGCATAAATAGTGTATTTAGCAGATAGGGAAAAAAGTATATAAGTAATGCGCTTAAAATGTAAATAGAGAATAGAACAGAATACATAGAATAGAACAGGATGTAGAATATAGTAATAAATACTCACCTTACATTTACCAAATCCAACGCCTCTTTCAAGTGTTGTAACATCCTACATTACGCTAACGATCTAACGGCTACCTTATGAATAAGGAATTCTAGGGTAGTTCCACCTTGCACCATTACAGTATATCCAATAGATCAAATATCAAAATAATTTATATACATAATTACTAACACTCAAATCTAGGTAAAACTTAATTACTTCTATTGGTTTAGATTACAGATAAATTAGTTTAAGCTTCTATTCTTTTTATAATATTTTAAAAGCAAAATTATATTCTATATAAAATTTAAATTAAATATATAATAAAAATAAAAGCATGGTTTTACTATTAATTTTTTAAAAAATAAAATATTTTATAAGTAAACTATATCTTATATTATTAATAATTTATTGTATTATTTAAAAAATACTAAATTTAATTTAAAAATTTAGACAAATTTGCCTAGAAAATAGTTTAAGAGATAGATAAAGCAATAGTATATCAAATGTTATGTGTTAATAAATTCTATATTTTGATTGGCTAGATAAAGTATAATATAAAAAATCAAAACAATTAATAACTAATATTTATTAGTTAAATCAAGTATAATATAACTAAAAAATTATTTAGACTATGAATAGTCATTATTTTTCTAGTTTTATAATAAAGGTATGTTATAATAAACTTTAAATCTTTTGTTATACCAGACATAGTATACAAAAAGTTATCATATCAGGTTCTCTAAGTATTTGCAAAACTATTTTAGTAATACCAATAGATTTTTATTAATTAATACCAATTTACTATTTAGATTATAAAATTAGATATAATATGAAGTTAAAACAAAAAATAATATTTTAATTTAAAAAACTATTATAATTTAATATTTTGTTTTTATAATTACTTTTTGTATATTAGTAAAAAAAAAACTTTATAAAACTTTGTATAAAATAAGTCTTGTTATAATTATAAACCTAATTATAATATAATGTTTTATAATATTAAAAAAATTATTAATTAGTAAATGTCTATAATAGTGCATGCAACTTTGTAATTATTTAATTGCTTTAATATTAATTATATTAAATTAACATTATAATTAAATTTAAAATATTAATAAAGTATCATATAGTTATTACATACATAAAATAATTACTATATTTTATAGATAATGAAAATAAAATATGGTAATTATTGCAAAGTATATAAATGCTATCATAAAAAAACTTGTCATCAGGTTTTTAATATTTATTTTGTTTTTTGAGTACTATCTAGAGAAAACCTACTATCAAGCTTTAAATTTATTTTATTAAAATATAATTGAAAACCAATAATAGATTTCCTGTAAACAGTATTTAAAAAACAAACTGAATATTGAAATCTTGATAATAGATTTTCTTTTGGCAGCACTCATATGTGTACTTTAAAAGGTTAAATATATGTTATAGGTTGGTTCGAAATTCGGTGAATTCAGCATCTACTTAAGTGAATTTTGAATCCAGAAACAACTTGAGACCTTAAAAATATCAACCATAAATCATATGTATTTAAAGAATCATAATGCATTTTAAAAGTTTCAAGCTAAAAAGTTAACTCAAGAATATTTTTATAAGACAAGTTTTAACAAATTAGCATAAGTTTTTGGGGAAAAAAACACTTGCTAAACGTAAACCATTCATTTCACACCAAATTACAAACTTCTTATTGCAGTACCACATGAGCCTACTAATACAAATATAGAACTCTAAAAGGTTGGTATTGGATTAAACTTCTTTCAGCTACGGGAGTTGAGAATTGCTATTCAATAACTATCGTATGTTCCAATAAACGCCCGGGACGTTATTTCAAATGGCTTAATTTAAAACGAGCAAATAATTAACTATAGAAGAAATTAAAGGTTTAAAAATTCTTCGCCTAAGTTAATTATTGGCTTGTTTTACATTAAGCCACTCGAAATAACGCCCAGGGGTGTTATTTTGGGATAATACGGTATTCATTTGTTGAAATTTCGAGAGTAGATTACAACAGTCTACTTTATCTTGTAAAATAATTAATAAATTGTTGAATGAAACATATCTCTTATAATATAAAATAGAATACTTGATAATGCCTATAAGGTGAGTAAAATAATGCGAAAAGCTTACAAATTGATTAAGACAAATTATTAATGTACAAAAGGCCACAAGAATGTAGTCTCTACAATAACCGGCACAAATGATGAATAAAAAAATAATTTTTGTAGACGTAGATGTTCTAATTTAGCGTTGTCATCCATAATATTAAATGTAAAAAGTGAACATCTTTAATGATAATACAATATGTTAACTGTAAATTATATTGTCGAAATTTATATTGCTTACAATTTTTACAATCCTATTTCTACTTAAGTTGTTTGAGTTGCGAAATTCACTTAAGTAGGTTCAGAATGCACGGAATTTCGAATCAACCTACAACATATATATCAATTTTATTTTAAATTGGTTTCATTTTAGTCTTCGACATTTATTAATTGAAACAGGGCGGCTTCGCCGCATCCCTACGTAATTTCTAAATTCTAAACATATTTGTCCTAAAACCTATACTAGTTTATTTCAATACCTCTCTCTCTAGTTAACATTACATAGTTTAAAATTACATTTATAATTATACTGTATACAAATCATTGGATTATTATAATATTCGGATTATTAGATTTTATAGCAAAATCAATCAAATTTCCACGAAGATCCAAACAAGTCAGCGTTGTGTTTGTGTTAAATGCATCCGCTAATGTTTTTCCGACTTCTGGTCCAAGATTATTAGATTGAATTTTTAACGAAGTCAGTGTGGTGTTCTTGCAAAGTGCATTTGCTAGTGCTTTTACTCCTTTGAATCCAAGATTATTATTGCTAAGATCCAATGAAGTCAATGTGGCGTTTTTGCAAAGTGCATCTGCTAACAACATTCCTCCTTCAAATCCAAGATTATTATCACTAAGTTCCAATGAAGTCAACGTGGTGTTCTTGCAAAGTGCATCTGCTAGTGCTTTTCCTCCTTTTGGTCCAAGTTTATTAGGATAAGAAGACCACCCTTTTCCTCCAAGTTTCAAATCCTTCAACGTTGTGTTCTTACAAAGAGCATTTGCTAATGCTTCACCAACGCATGATCCAAGATTAGTATTAACAAGATTCAAAAAAGTCAACGTAGTATTTTTGCAAAGTGCATCTGCTAATGCTTTTCCTACTCTTAATCCAAGATTATTATAGCTAAGATCCAATGAAGTCAGCATGGTGTTTTTACAAAGTGCATCTGCCAATAATGTTCCTCCTTCGAAATCAAGATTCTTATAGCTAAGATTCAAAGAAGTCAGCATAGTGTTCTTGCAAAGTGCATTCGCTAGTGCTTTTACTCCTTTGAATCCAAGATTATTATTGCTAAGATCCAATGAAGTTAACGTGGTGTTCTTGCAAAGTGCATCTGCTAATGCCTTTCCTCCTTTTGGTCCAAGTTCATTAGGATAAGAACACCACCCACTTCCACCAAGATTCAAATCCTTCAGCGTTGTGTTCTTACAAAGTGCATTTGCTAATGCTTCTCCAACACATGATCCAAGATTAGTATTAGCAATATTCAAAGAAATCAGCGTAGTGTTTTTGCAAAGAGCATCTGCTAATGCTTTTCCTACTTCTATCCCAAGATTATTATAGCTAAGATTCAAAGAAGTCAGCGTAGTGTTCTTGCAAAGTGCATCCGCCAATTCTTTTCCTCCTTTTGGTCCAAGTTTATTAATATCCCATCCACATCCCCTAAGTCTTAAATCTTTCAGCGTAGTGTTTTTACAAAGTGCGCCTGCTAATGTTTTTTCGACGTTTGAATCAAGGCTATAATAATCAATATTTAAAGAAGTCAGCGTGGTGTTCTTATAAAGTACATTGATTAATGCATTTAATTCTTCTGACCCAAGATTATCAATTTGAAGATTCAAATATTTAAGGTTTTTGCTACTTCGCAGGAACATTGCAACTAAAGAGCATTTGACAGAATTTGCAAGTTCATCTATTTCGAAAAATTCACTATTATATCCTTCATTTTTAAGCCAATTTTCGACTCCATAGGTCAAATAAGAACCAACGGACGTAGTATATTTTTCGTACTTAAATAATGGCCTTGGATAATTTGGAAGAGTAAGTCTAAAGGGAATTAACTGAGCTTGTTCTTCAGCATTTAATGCTAAAAGATATATTCTTATAAGTCTTTTATCCTCGAAATAATTTGTAGGTTCACTCCATAATATTGGTATAATAATTCTACACCATCGACGATTTACAAGAAGGCATGAAAATAATGTTTTATGATTAGTTCGAAAATTATTAAATATTTCAATAAGGCATTCATTTGGTAACATTATCATTTTGAAAGAATTATGGATTTAGTAAACGGATTTTGCCTCCGTTATATATACGTAAAAAACGTCGTGGAACGTTACAATTTAACTCCAAAAAACGTGACATCTCATAGGTTGGAGTTATGCCTAAATTTGTTTTTAACCTTCGTGAATATATTATTCTTTTTAATTACAATCCCTTCATTTGTCTTTATAAGTTTATTTTTATGAATTAAATAAAGCTTCATACAGCCTTTGATCAGTCTAAAAAATATAAAACTAGTAACAAGTTATTAATTTTAGGATTTATTATAATTCGTGACAACCAATTTTTTATGTATTTCTGCATTTTAAATTTATTAAGCAGAAAATGAACTTTTAATATATAACGAATTATCCCTTAAATCGTCTAGCTTACAAGTTTGGACACTAGGTGTAAAATTTATGAACCGGGTCATCAAGATCATTACCGGATCAAGTTAATTCTTTTATTATCACATGCTTCATTTTTTTTTAATTCATTAGTGTATTACTTATTTTCCTCAACACTTATGGATTCGCAAGGATATAGCATTGTGGCTTGTAAAACCTTTGATCGAATATTAGTATACTTTCATTGAGAGAAGCCTGTTCTAGACAAAACCATCTATGCCAACTCGTAATAATAAAAATACCCAACCTATAATCTTCAAAATAGACAAGTTCATAGTGTTAATGAATATGTTCTTTGAGTGAGTAAAAAAAATATTATTATTACGTAACTTTTATAACATTAATGCTAGAGTCTGAATAAACTTTACAAGAGCATAGTGGTTTAATTGTTAAGTTCTAGTGTTGCGAATAATAATATTAGTTCAATCCAAAACACTCAACTAGATGCCTGCTGTTGCCGAAAAACAAAATTTAGCATCAAATTTCATTCTTCAAGAAGAAATTCATTGTGTTCACCCGAAAGAAGGAGTCCATTATGTTCAAGAAAATGTGGATATGTTCTGCGTAAAAACTCTTAATCATATTGCTAAATTATATATGTATTCGTTTAATAGAGTTTGGATCCGGTTATCCGTTGGCTACAAATTTAGTAGTAAAATCCGTCAGATATTCGTTAATTTAATATGAAAATGGATGACCAGATCCAAGCTCTAGTTTAATATATAAAAATCAAATTAGCATTTAACATTTAGGTGAGCATATAATACTGGAGGGAACGTCGATGTAACACGATTGATCCTTATAATCCAGCACCATTTTATTATTATAATAAAATGGTGTTGTATTATAATCATGACATGTACTAGCGGAATGATCTGATGTCACACTGGGTGAAGGATCAGCCGTGTAACATCGGTGTCATGATTCACAAATGATTGAGATTGATTGTACTGTCACGTGATACTCGGAAAACAAATGTTAAGTCAAAAACTTTGTTTATATTTAATTTAAAAATTTCAGAATAGCAAAGTTCCACAAGGAAATTTTTTTGATAAAACTCCAAAGATGGTTTACTAAACAAAACGTGAGTAAATGTGATTTTTGCGATTTTTAATTTGCTGATTGACGTCGGAAATCCATGCGACAGTAAAATAGATCCTGCAATTCTTTAATGTGTGCCAGGTTTGTGGCGCAGTTTCCTGAAGATCAGGCGTAACGTAACACAATCAAAATAAACGTCCGTTTTGTCAAGAATCGCTTACTTCTCAAAAATCAGCATAAGAAATTACCTTTAATACTCTAATAAAAGTTTTCGTTGGACAGTTTTACTATATAATCTACTCTCCTCTGATTCCAACCCTGACCCTACCCTAACATAAACGAACTTTAAAGAATTGGAGCTGCGCCATAAACCTGGTACACATTCAAGAATTGCGTCGATCCTATGCCCATTCACAAATGACTCATGTCAATTCCGAAATACATCAAGAAAATGTGTACCGGGTTGGGTTCGGACAATCGCCCCAGATGATGGTCCGGAAGATCACTTAAAAAATTAACGCGAAGATTTTGTTGATTAAAGAAAAAAAACCATTATATATTATACATATTATATATGTCGTACGTCGACATGGATAAAATAAACATAGGTTATAATAGAATCCTAAAATGTGTCCGAAAATTTAATTTACGATAAAATTAATTCATCGAGTCTTTGTTTTGGAATCTAAATCGTTTTAAAATAGGTTTATCAATCGTTAAATTCAAAAGCATTCCATCTACAATTAGTGGGATGGAAGCCATTCCTACAGTGTAGATTTTTTTATTTACAATAGATTTTTGCTGCAAGCGTTTTTGCATTTGTATTTAATATTATTTAATATTATTTACCTGAGATAGGGATGTAATTGGCTTAAATAGCTTGGCTTAGCTTTTAAATTTATAGCTAAAGCCTAAGCAAAAATTTTAGTAGCCATAATTTAGCTATAGTTATTAATTTAGCTTTAGTTATAACCAAGATATAAATTAAGTTAGACAAATAATTAATTAGTTATAAATTATGCCATGGTTTTAACTATAGTTTAAACTATGGTTTAAGCCAGTTAAGCTATGGCTTTTTTTTTTTTTTTTTTTTTTTTGTGTTAAAGGCCATACTTGTGGCGATACTTTGTTGACTTTTATTGGGTTAGCTATTACAACTATTTTTACAGAGATGAGAGTACAGCTAGTCACACGTGCAACTTTTGG